CACTACACCCGGTCTCAATATATTTAGAATGCTTGCTGTCGTGTGTGTTCGTCTCTAGTTTTGCTGTCGTGTGTGTAGACTAACATTACAGGTATTATGGTTCTTTTTTTAAAGCTATCGCTTGTTTTAGGTATAGAGTTATCAAGCTCTATGGGGATGGAGCAGGATTGCCAGAACAACCTAGAGACAGGAATACATCATGATGTTTCCATTTTGACCATCAACAAGCTAGAGGAACAAAGAATGATATAGATAAACACGTATGGTGACCGCTAGGGGTCACACAGCAGTCACACTCTAGCCTGCACAATCTACTCAGTAGTGTCTAGATAAGGGTAATAAGGGCTTGTGAAGAATATTGAAGCTGCGAATGAACTTGCCTACATGCAAAGTAATCTAAATTGTATAGACCTAGGCGTAAAAACTATACAGTTACATTAGTTGCTTTTTCAACAAAATAGGGCTAAGAATTGGCTAGGTCTGGGTTTTATATTGGTGGTATAGATATGCTCGATCGTTTGCCTCAAAGGGTCTATACATTTTTGCTGGCTGAATACTGGCGGTCATCACCATGCCCCCGTTCACCTCATTCTGCATGCTACTCTAATGACGCTCATAAACACACTTCATGACCTGGACCACAAAAGAGCAAAACACAACCACGTGATAAACAGAAAATGAAATGATTATTTCCTTTTGCAGTAAATGTTCTTAAAAACATTGACACAGAATCTGGACTGATGCAATCATTTTAAACAAGTCTTTATTTTCTTTACCGTCGTGAGATAGAGTCCCTAAAACAAACCAGAAGAACATTCAATTATTTGAAAGCTGTTGCGTCTGTTTAGTCACAAGTTAAGCCACAAAGTAATGGAGGCTTGATAAAACACATTGTCAGTGTATTACGTTGCCAAGCTCTTACTTTGCTATGTGTGTGTTAAATGGAACACGTGACGTCATAGAGTTTTGAATCCCATTTTATGATGCTTAATTCAGAAGAAAAAAGACAACAAATCCCAACGCATTTTTGGTTTCCTATGGAAAAAGAAATTAAGATTTAATTTTCTTAGATTCAGCTTAACATAATTCCTTGCTGTGACATTTGCAATAGAGAAGACACCGCGGTTTTGGTCACCCTAAAACGACGTGGGGATTTCGACTTCCTTGCCACTTTCAGTTTAACCAACCACAGCATGGTCTGGGACGGAGATCTTGAAGTTCTTGTAGTAAGTGGAACAGTCATTGGGTGCAGCCCAGGAGGGGTCACCGCCTCCGAAGAAGGTGGAGAACATCATACCTCTGAGGTGAATGTTGTGGTTGTTGCGCATGACCAGGTGATTGGCGGTGTAACATTGCTGGGAATGACCCTCGGCCTTGATGCACATCTTGACCCAGCCGTTGGCTTTTCCAACAGTGTTCAGGTGAACTTCCTCTGTGACAGAGTGCCACTTGTTATTCTGGGGAAAATAGATAGACACTTATACAAAGGTTATTGAGGGGGTTTTGAACACCTCCATAGATATAAGTTAGTCATTTAATAGGCGAGCTTCGGCCCTGTCTAACAAGGCTGTCAAAGGGTGGGAGGGATACAACGTTTCAGAAGAAAGACAGAGGTACTATAGTGCGGTCTAAAATTTGTGGTGCAACTTATCCTCAAATATCTATTAAATGGGTGAAAAACCGTCATTCATACTTTGCACAGCAGTTTGTATCAATTTGTCTTATTGAGGCTAGATTAAAAAAACCTTTCTTCATTAATTTATATAAAATACTATAAATCTCCGCCTTGCGTAAAATGGGATTGTTCACAGCACTCCCGCTTCTTGCACACATTTTGTATATGCATATTATGGCCTACGTCGCAGCTCAACAATGACACTTTTTAGTGGCAAAACTTGTTAGAAGAAATTTGTTTTATAGCGAACATATTTTTGGACTTAAGGTTCTCAAAACATACGTTCAATTAACATAAAGTCGCGATTAGAAAAAAAAGTGACAGACTTGCTTTTAAATGCGATATTGCTCAAGATGTAAATTTTTAAAAACTGTAGAAACCATAGACCTGGATTTTGTATTAGTATTTATTAAGGAATTCTCAAGAATACAGTGTACAGGTGTTTCAAAAAATAATCACCAGTTAAGACAAATTGATATAAGTCATTGTGCAAACGTTTGAGAATCTATGTTCAATAGAATAGTAGATAATTGACAATAAGTTACGCCACGAATTTTTTTTACCACACTATAGATAAAAATTCGCCCCATGCGTGAAACAAACTCGGGTTCTTTGGGCGCGATGGCTACAACACATACACACCGGTTGTCAATATTGAAACAAGTTTGAAACGATCCGAGTCAGTGAACGATTTTCTAGGAGTAAAACATATATCCCCCCCCCTTCCTCCCCCTCCTCCCTCCTCATCCCCCATCCCCTTCGCACATCACGATGATCACAGGTTTCTGTTTTCTGTGAACCCAGTGCCGCACAATGACAACATAGTTGGCCAACTGTTTTGTCGGTGCTATGGGAACAGGGAAAATAAGAGAAGCACGACAAATTAATTGTGTCATAATAATATTTTAGTGATAGGCTTCCCACATAATATTCATTGTCCACAAGTCACCAACAAAACAGTTGCCCTGAGAGCTTTTTAAGGCACAGATACCATGGGGTTGTTTCCAGACTCCAGTCTCCTCAACAGGAAAATGCATAGGAAAGAACATAAAACGCTTGTTGGCAAATATCCGTCTGTTTGCTCGGAAGTTCAATTTCTCTCAGCTCAGGCTGGCCCTGGTAGGCAGAATCGAAGGAACCCGCTTCCTAAAAAATCTATTCTGTGTTAATGGGTGCGTAAAACATCTAAAAATGTAGACGCAAGAAACAGACCAGGCAACAACAACAAAAACAACAACAACAACAACAACAATAACAATAACAACAACACCAACAGAAACAACAATAACAGCAGCAATAGCAACAGGTTGTATTGGAAGTGTTATACGCACGTCTCCTTAGATAAAATTTAAAAAATACGAAATTAGAGTCCAGGCTGCCAAGACGCTGTCTGTTCCGGACCAACCCGGGTGAGTGCAAAGATGTTAAAATAGAACTATGATATATAAACTCTTTGGGTTAGTGGGATATAACATCCCAGCAGACAGACTGAGATACTAGATTGACACCTCCCCCCCCCCCCCCCCCCGAAAGAACAACCACAAAAAATGTTCCCACTTGAGACCTTGAAAATCGAACTCGCATTTTCTGCTAGCAACGGCGTTGAGCCTAGCCATTAGACCCCAGATGCCTGCTGTAGCCGCAACAACAACACACTAAGACATTTTACCCGCAACAACTAAATATAAACGGAAACAACGCTGAGACTGACAGATAAATGTGGATATAAATGCATACCCAATGTCACCTGCACATTAATTTATACACGTACCATCCAATGGGTTTTTCCTCTGCCCAAAGACTGTCCATAAACTGGGTTGTAAACAACGTCAGGACGTTGTTCAAATCCACTTTCCTGGTTTTTCGGGATGTAAGCATAGATCTCACCGGCTCCGTGTTCGCGCCACATAAGTCTGAAAGACAAATGGATTTGATAATAATGATAATTCTTAGTTATAGTGTGTTAGTAAGTGCTGATATGTATTGTTTTTTCAACTACTGTCCTTTCGTGTATAATATAAATAATTAGTGAATGGTTGTAAGAGTTCTTTATGCGCTTGAACTGGTTTTTCTTGTTTCTGTGAAATATCTTTTCCAGTGTGAATGATCATGTGATTGATGTAAGGCGCTCAGAGCTTATACTTATTCGGGATAGAGCGCTACATAAATGCAATGTTAATAATAATAATAATTATTATTATAAGATTGATACTGATAATGAAAACTGTGTGACATAGATAATACGCACCAATGCACATTGCATCGAGCCTATGCATAGATCGATACAGTTGAACGTACTCTAACGTCAGTGATAGGTCCCACTTCTTTTCTTTCCCTCTGTTGTTTTGTTTCTGTATATCTGTCTGACTCTTTCCCTCCACTAAATGACCATGATTGTGTCGATGTGCTTAGTGACGTCTGGGGTGTTACGGTTAAGCACTTCGCCGTCGCATAGCCTACAGAAAACCCCAGTTCGATCCCCGTGTGTGAAGGATTAATATAAAATCTAGGTCTTACTTCATGGACGTTGCATTCCTCTCAGCCCGGGTCGGGCTAGGCAGAAAGAACTGAAGCCTTTCTCTTAAATGACCTAAATTGGGCCAATGGGGGAATTAAAACATTCAATTTTAAAAAAGGGATAATAAATGTGCTTCTCTTTACTCAAACTCACGCTAGAAACCAAGTACAAACGACTCCTACCTGAGAGAGAAGCAAGTGGAGGGGTTTGAACCGCCCGAGCACTTGTAAGCACCTTCGCCATCTTCGCCACCATAGAGACCAGGCAGTTTCCCGCCCTTATTCCAGCCGAAGTTCTCAAAGTAGACGTCATAAGAGAGGATCATAGCATCTACGTTTTGGGGAATGGCATTAGGCTTGCTGAAGAAACCAGCACCTGGAAAGAAAATTGTGACGTAAAAATATAATTCGATTACTGGGTGGAACACTGACAGAAGCTAAATCATTTGTATTGCACAATGGCGTTTTTCGGAGTCTCCACTCCAGCCATCAAATTATTGTAGTAATTGCAGATATTTTACAATGAAAATAATTCTATATTATTATTATTATTGAGTTGTAGTTACAAATGTCAGTACTACAAAAATTGCCGTGCCAAGACAGAGCTACGTATCTGCACTTTTTATGATTTTGAGTTACGTTGCGCTGCCTTTGGAAATACCGGTCTGGCCCTTCAGTTACGTCTGTTTGCCATAGTGAAATATCCTATTTGTTGTGCAGGTACGTCTTCCTGCCTTTGACACAAGATGCAGAAAGGGTATAGGCGTCCATTTAAACAAAGCTGCAAAAATGAATTTTTTTTGGTAGATACGTCGGTCTGCCTTGGCACGACAGAAAGTCCTATTTTTCTCGATGTGTTTACATGTAAACGTAAATTTGTAAGAATAATTTTACCCTCAAGACTTCCACAATATTGATCATCGAAGTTGTGTAGATGGGGAGGGGCGCGTAAAATATGCACAATTAATAACAAGATACTTCGTTCTTACAAAGTAATTAGTCATCGCAGGAAACATCGGGACTTGTGGGACATTGGGAATATTTCGAATTAGGTTGGAATATTAAACTTAAGCAGGCAATTCGGGGCTCGATTTCTATGAAGTATACATTCTGGTTCCACGAAATGTGTTACTTTAAAAAGAAAAAGCCCAACATTAAGATTTGAAAGTGGAAAAGAAACAAAATACATTTTTGAAAAATTGGATATCATCGAACGTTTTCCGTGTATGAACCGGATCCTGTGGTACAACAATCAGGCACTTGGCCATTGCACGCAGCAGAATTGAATTCGATTTCCATATGAGGGGCGGGGG